TTACCTGTATACGATTATATATGTATTATTTTAGTGTATATTATACTATTGTGTGTCATCGTTATCAGACTTCTTCGATCCATTACTGTACGAAAGGCGTCTCCAAGACTTTTCCATACACTTATCTTCTGCGATTTTTGTCTAGCGAGTTTCTGCAGCTGATCCTGCTATCGAACTAGAAGTGTTCGTACGGGTCGTTTACTGTCATTTGGAACACAGTCTAACGTATCTCTGGTCAGGCAAATGCAGGTTTTTCTTTTAACGTTTGCAGCTGATTGTCATCTTAATGCAGTGACATCGCAGACACTTGTTTGCGTTTTTACTCATTCATTCGTCTTCGTATCTTTTCTTTTTATTCCCAGTGTACCCCTTTCCATGATGCTTTGCGCAGTCTGTAGTTTATGACTAACTTTTAGGCTTAGGGTCCACCTTTTGTATCCACAGATTAGCTCTGACAGCATACACTGATTGAAAACTTTATTTCAAACACAAGGACAGTTCCCGCATAGGAACATTTTTTGTCGTTCAAAAATGCTCTATGTCATTTTTATTCTTTTGTTTATTTCACAGTCGATTCTCATTTAACAAACATCATCTATCTCAAATGGACGTGGTTTTGTGTTTTTTCAAAGCTAAGTCCGTTGACTTAAATAGATCGTGAGATCACATGTTAAACATGACCTGAGGCTTTTATACTTTCGTTTTCAGTCCTTCTTTTATACTAGCGACTTTCAGGTTTTGGATTGTTTGTTGCAATGTTATGTTTGTTTGTTTGCTGGAATGTTATGTAACCGAATATGCTGTGGAATATATATCAACGTCAGTTTGTAGCTGTTTCCGCTCACTAATATATATGACTTGATTCTTATTGCTTCATTTCACTCCTTAATTAATTATATGCTCTGTGATTGTGTTTTTCGCAATACTGCTTCTAGCACTACTGCCCTTTGTTAATATCTGGGCATTTTTATATTTGTTGTATGTGCGCGAAGACACAGTACCATATTTAAAAACATTTTCTTACCAGGTCATTATATATTCTGACTTCTGTTGTAGGTACCATTCTAGCCATGCATCCACAAACCCGTTCGAGCTATGAAGTACGGAGGAGCATCATGCCTCAGTTCATAAGACGGTTTTTGTACAGAAATCCGAAATTTATTTTCTACTTCGCCGTCGGCGGCACCGCTGTTTTGTACATGATCCCTTCGTTGAAGGGTTATTACTATTATTTTACGCTAAGCAAAGAAGATTACGAAAACTACTACGAACGGGAGTCACTGAAATCTATGAACCGAGCTCGATTCGGTGAAGGGTTGATCATTCCTTTCTTCGATTCTACATTTAACCTTTTCTCAAGAGAAGTCGTTGAGAAAAAGAAGAAGGAGTTGGAAAAGTACGAAGTGAGTCACAAATAACGATGTTTAATAGCACCGCGGTGAAACCGATAGTCTGAAACTGAAAAGAAGCGAATCGATACTGTGACAATGGCGTTTGAACTGTTTAGCCGTTTACTGTAGTTTGCTGCTCTTTACCTGTCTAAAATGGTACTCTTTCTAAACAGCTACATCAAACGTCGTATTCCAGTTACTCAAAGCCGGAGGATGACTGGCAAATTTTCCTGCAGTGTGTTACATGGATCGCCACTCGCCTGCTGCGCAAGCGCCGTATTTGGGGCGTTCTTCTTCACAAGCTCTACTTCCTGGGTTTGCAGCAGTTCAGATAACGTGGAAAGCAGTTCTTGACGAAACGTTTCGAATTGTGAACGCGTTTCCTGGTCTTTTAAACCAACTTCCGGCATTGAAACGGACCATACCACCAGTTTACGTATACAACTTCTCAAATCGCTGACTATACGGAATGCTCTAAAAAACAACAATCACTTTTAATATTAAACGCGAAAGAGCTCAAATCAATGACAAGTAGATTATTTCTAAGGAAAGCATAGTTAATTTATTTTACAGCCGCCTTATCCATTATATTTTTATTTTGTTTTCGCGGAAACAACTTAATTTCGCCATATTAATCAAACATCATGAACATTTAGAACTTAGTTTTTAAGGAATGACTCTGTTTCTCAGTAAATGTCGAGATTAACAAAACGAAAAAATTGTTATACAAGCTGATTGAGCGTAAGTCAATCTCGTAAAGTTCTCACGTGGGTGGAAGCCAAAATATGACGACGTCGACCAGGAGGTCAGTATGCAACCTGGAAGAACAAAGAAGAGGCAAATCTGCTTTTGGCGAGACAAAGGGAAAAGCTGCGAATACAATACGTACATCACAAATCAGACATGTTTTGCTTCCGCGCACGGCTCAACATGATAATCAAACAAAAACAAATTTAAAGGAATTTCGACCCGTTTGAGGTTATGAAACTGAACTATGAGAACTAATAACACCGTAAAAACCTGTTCAGCATGAAAAATAGAAAGGTTATACAGGTCTTTCCCCTAACATGCCCCCTACCAGCGACAGACGGGATAATTACTGGATAATTTTACTTTGCGTACCTTTCGTTTTCAAATTTAATCTGAAAGAAACGCAGGCCGCCAAGCTGCACCAGTCGTGCTTTGTCAGTAGAACCTTGCTTCGGTGCCGGCAGTAGTACAGGTTTATAGCCGGAAAACAGCAGTACTGTTAGTGCTGGAACGGGTGTCAAGCCATCGGTGGCATACATTCCAGATTGAGGATCAAACTGCTAAAACAACACAACACTGGTGTGATAACCGTTTTCTTTACTAATGAAAGAATATTCATAGAGAAATTTTAACATAATTACAACATTTAATATATTGAACAAAATGCAATAAGGCGGTCAACTACAGTCACTGATAAATAATGACCCTCCAACCCGTATTTCATGGACGTTCTTCAAGGTAAATTGGTAGTACCGGACAATGGAGTTGAAACGTTATTAAATACTTTGCTGTTAACGCCAACCATATACGTGCGGAAAGAGAATGACGATGTGGGTGTCAATAGGCATGGTTTATTACATATTTACTTGACGTTCTTTGCCGATACCACAATGACAAGTGTATTTTTCTAATACTGTGTTAACCTCAAAGATAGCAAAGCCTCTATCGGTATGCACATGGATTATATACACTTTCATCATGGCGTTACTTGCTGCATGTTATATTTCGGTTTCGACTTAGTAAACGGCCACCAGTGCCTTGTTTTATGAAGGAAAAATCTACAAC